GACATGGCAAAGAACTTAGTAGCATTGGCTCCAGTGAATCGCCCGTCTCCATCTGATTGTATAGGACCATTTTTCAGAAATTGATATGCAAGTGTTAAATTTGACTAAAAATCTAAAACTCAGTACCTGAATCGGCGATAGAAAACCATTCTTGAAAAATCTTCTGGAGCTCTTTGGAGCACCGGTTAATCGGAAACGAATCAATCTCCATTTTCGATCTGAAAAATCCCCCAAAATTATATGATTCTTATTTGCATTTCAGAACGTTCGTACTTTAAATTTTGTGAAATTATTTTTTTATCACTCTGCCATTTTATTTGGGGGAAAAACCCAATCGTTTTTGCCGACATAATGCAGCGTAATCTAACGTTCCTTTTGGGTTAACTGTCCCAATAATCCGTAAGGTTTCGAATCTTAGCCACTAAACCACCATTCCCTCTATTGTAAATGTCGAATCTTAGCCAATAAAATTCTTAGAAGAATTCTACGTGTACAATGTTGGGTTACGACCCCACGATTTAAATAATAGTGGCCACATCTCTCTTATGAGATGTTGTAATTCAACATTGTACAAGGAACTTTATTGAAATTCTTATATCTTTGTATAATTACAACGTCACTTTGAAAAGTTTAGTGATCAAAATTCGATTAACTTAAAATACAGTGAACTGTCAAAGACGTAAATATAGTAATTAATCAAAGACGTCTTACTTACGTGAACTATCCTTCCTTCTGATCAACATCTAAAGGTGATGAGGATGAGCTATGAAATTCTTTTATCAAGTCAAACGAAATGAAAGTAATTTCAGTAAATGACATCCAATATTTTGAAAAATTTAATGCTCAAAATTCGACATCTTATAGTGTAACCAGCAAATGAAGACGTCAACCTTAGTTTAGTGATTATTGTAACAATCAACTTGTTTCATGTATAAGTACTGATTTCAAAATACAATTAAGAGTTCGTTTGGTAAAGATTAAAATTGAAAATATAGTCATTATTGAATCTCACTCGTCTAATAAAAGTCAACAATAACAATTAGTTTTTCAATTTTAATCCGATTTTAATCTTTACCGAACACGCCCTAAATATTACTAAAAATTCTTCTTTTTTCCTCTTGAGGATAATCATTAAATTGCAATTGCATACGAAATGATTATGAAGTGGGAATTCTAGGTGGGAAGTGGGCAGCTTGATTGGTTCACACTCGAGATGAGTCGTGCATGCAAGTCGAGCAGCCAATCATTCATGCGAGTTGCTCTTCGAATCACCTCATTAAAGGGTGAACTCGTAGACGAGCCAACCAAACTTTTGATGAACGAATCAACTCGCCTGATGAGTCCAATCTAGCCTGGTGCCCCCTAGTGAAAATATTAAACGAGAATTATGAACAATTAAAATTTAATACACTAACGAAGTAAAGTGTTTCCTTTGACAGATTAAACTAAATTAATAAATACGACGCCGTATACAAGTGAAAATGGCTTCTGCAAGTTGCTTTTGATGTAGAAAGCAAAGTTTTGCTAAGCAAGCAAGAGTTTATTATATTATTAATTGGTTGATTAGCAATTTAGCAACTGGCTGATTACATAACTTTTACGTTTTTTTGTAAATTTAGAGTTGACTATACGAGTATCTAATCTTTCTTAGATCTTGAAATGTAGCATCATACGGGGAATAGAGAAAGCAACACAAGATAGAAAACATTATTTGGCTCTGTTAAGTCCAAATTATAAATGACAATTTTTTTTAGTCAAAATCAAGTCCTAGTTGACTTGTCTTAGGAATTTATCGAGATATAATCAAAGACAAGATAAGAGTTATTGAATCCTAATTAAAGTCAAAAGAGTTGGATTGGTAGTATAGATCTTGAAGGAGTCCAATGTGTCCAAGAAGATCACATGTGATCATTGAAATGCAATTAGAAGTCAAAGAAATGTAGAAGTGTTGCCCAAAGCTCCACATTCTCACTCACAAGTTGCATCACATTTTTCACATAGAAAACATTGGAACTTGAACAAGTCTATTCTAAAAGAATTGTAGCCCTTTGAGTTATCTTTTCAACGCTTTTTGAATCACCTCAATCGGATATCGAGAGAGAAAGTTATAATAAAAATACTGACGATTGCTTAGCTGACGTTCACATGTCGCTGACATAGCACTCGAGTTAGTTATCAAAGGAACGATAATATTCGATTTTCAAGATTCAATCACCACATATTACTTAATTCATAAATTCTTCCAAATTATATTTTGTTGATCAATTCATATTCTTTCATATTAAATCACATATTAAAATACAAAAAATCTTTTGATCAAACACCAAACTACCTAATCCATTGGAGATAGATCGATAGGAGGGATTAGGAGCAGTTGCAGAAGCACAAATTCAGAAACACTAAAGTGAGATACCAGAGTCGGGATCTAAAATCATGAGCACGCTGTCCAGGAGGTCCAAGGTATAAATTAGGAGTTGGGATTTGTTTTAAAGGAACGCATCTCCAATAAGATCAAGGGAGACTACTTGAATTGATGTCAGAATTCTATGGGGGTAAACGAGTCTGGACCGTACTGTAAGTTTGCTTCGATTTATAGTTGATTACTGACTGACAAAGTGCCCAGAGTATTTATCTAGTTGGGATTTATCCATGATCATTTTTTGTGTTCTTTTCTGCTTTAATTTAATGATTGCGGTATTCAAACTTAGGATAAATTGACTTATTTGACTAACCATCTAAAAACAATTAAAATTTGACTTGTTGCTTTTAATTGTGTAATTCCACACGTGGATCTAAATAATTTAAAACTTTCAGACTCAACTTGCGAAATCAATACAAACACCATAAAATATAGCTCTTCTGAAAAACAAGAGAAAATACAGGAAAGAAGAAATAATAAATATAGAAGATGTACAGACTTAAATGAATAAATAGCACCAAATTGCACTTTGAAATGGTGGATTTCAAGAATCGATCACCCCGAACATTGAAGTTGTGTAATCAGTCAATCAAGAGAACTAATTGTCTTCCCAAGCAAACCACAGAACAAGAGACATCCCTATACCAAATATGGTGTGAAGCGAAGTTCTGTCGAGAATGAAGCCATATAATGTAATCCCAGCTCTATTGTTCTCAAAGTATGTAACTGCAAATCGATGCCCGAAAATTAAATATTGTCAGATTCATCTCCATATCACATGCATTATACAGTTCGAAAAAAGAAACATCCAATTTTCCCTGTCTTACCCAAGGCTTGTCTTTTCTGAAATGAGAGAGTGCTGTAGGCATATGACATGACAAATTTTGAGTGGTCGAGTTCATCTTCTTCGTCGCCAACATCATCAATGTCTGATGAGCCATCAGAACTCGCAGGAAATATTTGATTGGCAGCTCCAGATGCTACTGGAGTCTCAGTTTCGGCTGTGTCAAACGAGTCGATTGTTGCACCTACGTGCCACTTAGCCGCAAGGCATGTCACAGCTAGTGCCTCGTGTGTAATTCTGGTCGCACTTCGTAATAGTATCATAAGCCCGGCAAGAAGACTTACAGAGCACAACTGCACATCAAAGACTAGTTGAAAATGCAGGTTCTATACACACTATTTGATGATTTGATCCAGTAAGTTAAGAATGCATACCACAAGTTCTCCAGTTATGTATATAACAAGTTCTGCACTGGGACGTGTAGTCATGAGAAGAGAGGCAAATGGACTTGCAGTAATTAATATCAGTGC